TCAATATCGTTACCTCGGACACCGTTCACTTCGAACGGCAAGGATCTGATGCCTATTTTCTATTCTCTAGTTCCCAACCATCCTGTGGTGTTGGATCTTCGTTTTGAAGAGAGTCCCAGCTTCTACTCCTCTCCTCCTCCCCCTCCTCCCTCCTCCCGTTGCCCCCCTCACTTTGGCACACCCCTCCCACGTTTCGTGGCCCCAGTGGGAGCTCCACCGAAGGTCCCAGTGGCATGCTTCGCATGCCGCCACCCCCTCACTCTGGCACACCCCTCACAAGCTACGTGGCCCCATGGGGAGCTCCACCGAAGGTCCCAGTGGCATGCTTCGCATGCCGCCACCCCCTCACTGTGGCACACCCCTCACACGCTACGTTGCCCCATGGGGAGCTCCGCCAAAGGTCCCAGTGGCATGGCTCGCATGCCGCCACCCCCTTCACTGTGGCACACCCCTGACACGCTACTTTGCCCCATGGGGAGCTCCACCGAAGGTCCCAGTGGCTGCGTTCGCATGCCGCCAACCCCCTCACTTCGGCACACCCCTGACACGCTACTCTGCCCCATTGGCTGCGTTCGCATGCCGCCACCCCCCTCACGTCGGCACACCCCTCACACGCGGGGTGGCCCCATGGGGAGCTCCACCGAGTGCCCTATTGGCATGGTTCGCATGACGCCACCCCCCTCACTTTGGCACACCTCTCACACGTTTCGTGGCCCCATAGCGAGCTCCACCGAAGGCTCCACTGGCATGGTTCGCATGCCGGAGAGAGCGCGTTTCACGGGCGTTTGCCTTGGGAGAATTTGGTGGCGCGTTTCGAACCGGGGGATTGGACCCCCCCAAACCTTCGGCGCCGTCGATCAGAACCAGAACCAGGGGGACTCCCGTCCCCCCTATCACCCCCCCTCCCTGAACCCCCCTCCCTCTCCCCTCCCAAGGTGGGGGGGGGTCAAAACCCCCCTCCGCTCCTCCCCCTCGGCGCCGGCGCCTGCGCCGGCGCTGACGGCCGCCAGTTGCGCCGACGGCAGGCCGCAGCGACGATGACCATGACCAGAGGCAGCCCAAGGGGGGGGGTCCAAACCCCCCCACCCCCGCCGGTGCCGGCGCTGGCGGCGGCCAGCAGCGCCGACGGCGAGGACGCACCGACGATTACCACCACTACCACAACCACTACCACCACCATCACCTCAACCCACCACCACCACCACCAACCCACCACACAACCACCACCTCCACTACCACAGCCACCACCACCACAACCACCACCACCACAAGTCACCACCACAACCACAAAAACCCACAGTCTACCACACCACCACCACCACCACAATCTATCACTACAATCTACCACACCACCGCCACAACCACCACTACCAGCAGCACAACCCACCACCACCACCACAAACCACCACACCACCACCACCGCCACCATCACCACCACCACCAGCACCACCTCTACAAACCACCGCCACCACCGCCAGCACCACCACCACCATCGCCACCACCACCACACCACCACCAAACCACCACCACCACAACCCACCACCACCATCACCACAAACCATCAACACACCATCACCTAAACCACCACCACCACCACCTCCCACCACGACCACCACCATCGCCACAAACTACCACACCACCACCACCACAACCTCCACCACCGCCACCACCACCACGACCCACCACCACCACCACCACCAACACTAACCACCACACCACCACCACCAACCACCACACCACCACCACCACCACCACCACCACCACCACCAACACCACCACCACTACCGCAACAAACCACCACCACCACAATCACCACCACCGCCACCACCACCACAACCCACCACCACCACTACCACCACCACCGCAACCACTACGACCACCACCGCCACCACAACCACCACAACCACCACAAGAACCACCACAACCACTACGACCACCACCACACCACCACCGCCACCGCCACCACTACCTTAATCCACCACCGCCACCACTACCATCACCACCACCAGGAACCACCGCACCACCACCACCACCGCCACCAGCAGCACCACCACCACAACGTGCCACCACAACCACCACGACAACTACCACCACCACCAACCACACCATCACCACCACCACCTCAACCACCACCACCACCACCACCACAGCCCACTTCCACCATCACCACCACCACAACCACCTCAGAGAGGCCCCAAGAGACGCCCAAGAGGCGACCAGGAGGCTGCACAATGCCGCTCAGAGGTTCCCGAAAGCCCTCCGACGAGACCCCAAAAGGCATCCAGTAGGACTCTGACCCAAAACCAACGCACGGTGGCGGAGCGTCGTCGTCGTCGTCGTATCGTCGTCGCCGTCGTCCTCGTCGACGCTCCCCGCCGCCGCCCGCCGCCGCAGGCGCCGGCGCCGGCCCAGAAAAGGAAGTCGTCGTCCTCGCCGCCGCCGCCAGCTGCCGCCGACGCAGGCGCCGGCCCGAGGAGGGAGAGAGAAGAAGTAGGGGAGAAGGGGGAAGGGAGGGGTGGGGGGGTTCGAACCCCCCCCTCTCCATCCACGGAGGGGGGGGGTGTCCGATTCCACCCCCCCCCCTCCAAGCGACCCCAGAACGCGCTCTTTCGCATGCCGCCATCCCCCTCGCTTCTGCACACCCCTCATCAGCTTCCTCCGCCAACGGGTCTCGCACTCACACCAGAGTCTTTCGTGCCCGCCCACAGCGAAGATGGGAGGAAGGACTTCGGCTTGCCCCCCCGGCCGCAGTGTGACGGAGTGGGGGTTGCGCAGGAGACCCGTCCATGAATTCTGCCTCTGTCTATGCCTGTCATTAGGCTTTGGTGAATGAGGCGGGGGGCGTTCACTTAATGTTTGCCCCTGCCGCTCCACTTCCCCCCCTTCTGTCCTCCCTCCCCTCCCCCCCGTTACAGTTTGCCTTGGGTTTTCCTTGCGCCCAGTACTTGCAAATGTCAGCTCACAGTTTGTAGTATACATTGTTCGCCTCTGCTGCACATTAGACTGGGATGTTCTCGCCCGCGCAGCAACAACAGCCGGAGGCCCCACTTGCTGCGTTCGCTTGCGCCGCCTGCCTGTATTATCCCGCCTCCCCGAGTGCCTGTCAGCTGCAATTGGGCCGCAATTGGTTGCATCAGCATGCAACCCGTTTCGTCTGACCTCCGCGCCCCCCGCGGGCGGCCACAGCGACAGCCCTCGCTTGGCGGCCCCGCCTCATTTCGGTGTTCCCTTCAAGCGTTCCGTGGCCCCGTATTGAGCTCCGCGGAAGGCGTTGTCCATAACGCCGGTACTCACACTTGCATATGTATGGGCCCTTCGCCATGATAACCTCTCGATCAGTCTTTGCTTCTCGATCAATGTGCTGTTTCTTGTCGCCCCTCGTTCTTGCTTCGCTAAGCCTCCGTGTGTCCTCACCGCTGCCCTTGTTTCTGAATTCCCCTTTACAGCTCCTCGATCCGTTTACGGGTTTCCCCGTCAGTTCGCCCAGCTGACTGCAGTCGGTGCTCACGCAAGCACGTCTTGGCTCCTCGGCCCCACCCGTTGAGGATACGTTACGGAGATGAAGCGTTCGCGATGAATTGCCGTTTCAGCAGATATGTGCGGAAGTTTCTTGACTGGCAGTTTTGGCACGTATACGATGTGTTCGAATGGATGTGCGCATGTACCATGCGTTCCTACTACGCTACCCGTTACTACCCATCGCATGGGCTGCGCTGGAAGTTGTTTTCCGCGCCTTTCGGGCCAGCGCAATGATTGCAGGCCACAAGTCCAGAGCTGACCGGTGACGACACCGCAGTCGATCAGTGCACGATGAGTGGTCGTGGACAGCCTGCAGCGATCGATTCGGATACCCGGCTAGCAATCGACTTGCAATGCTCGGGCCACCTAGGAGAGTTGACGGACTTCATGGACGACGATGGGCAAGGATCTGGAGTAACGGCATTTACCCAGGCCTGCAACGCCTGCTGCTTCAGCGATCGATCCTTTGGACGTCGTCTTGTCTTTTACGGTCGGTGTCCTCTTCATCTGCACTGCAGTAGCATGTGTCAACCACTATGTTGTTGCACAATGTCCAGCGCGACAGTGTCGGCAACATCGCCTCCTGCGTCTCGTCGGGGCACATCGTCCATCTCTAGCCCTTCCAGATGAAAGTGTGCTTCACATGCATGCATGGGTTTGCTCATGTTCCTATGTTCGAAAGATCTCTCAGGACCTATTGTAGCCATCTTGCGTTCACGAACCGTTCGAAACGAGCAGAGTGTGACATTACCGCGATGAGGTGCAACCGATGCTTATGGAAAGGAGGTTGCACGCGGGAGGAAGACCGACGGATTCGTTTGCGATAGCCGGCTTCCAACGACGACGGCGCTCGGGCCGCCCCAGCGTTTGCCCTGAAGACGCCCGGATCTGCGATTCGTCGCGGGCAGTGGTTTCTTCCTCCTGCAATTTTGTAGTTTTGTATTTGGGTTTCTGAACGTGGGGATGCAGCCCGAGAGTTCTGGTCCTTGGGCGTGAGCGCTGCCTGCGCGAGAAGCGATACGGCCAGGTAGACCCTGCGGGCGCTCAGGCAGTTGAGTGGCAGCACCTTGAGTTCAGGAAGCAAGCGATGTTCTGCAGCGCGCTAGCCGTTTCAGTTTTCGCTTCCCCCCCTGCGCCGCGTGCGTGACCCTGGTGGGGAGGGCGCAGGGGGCCGCAGAGCACCTGATAGAGACAGAGCGATGCTCGGACGGCAGCGTGCACAGCAGCAGGCAGAGGCAGAGCCGAGCCCCCGCGAGGAAGAATTGATGGAGACGACCAGCCTGGCAGGGAAGGGGAGGAGGATGGGGAGGAAGAGGAGGCGCATCATCAGCAGCAGCATCAGCAGCAGCAGCATGAGGCTCAGACGGAGAGGGAGAGCAGCGGGGGTCCAGCGCTGCGAAGTGCGGGCGCCAGGTCTTGGTGCGCCCACTGCCCATCGAGGGCGGCGGGGGTCTGGTCGATGCCTGCACCGAGTGACGAAGTTTCTCGGGAGGGAGGAGGAACAGGAAGGATATGATAGAGGTTTGGGAAGCAAGCTTGCTCCCCAGCTGCAGGAGACCCTGGAGCCCTCCCCATCCTCCAGCTGCCTGGTGCTTGGGAAGGCTAAGTTGTATGGAAGTTGTGATGAGGTTGAGAGTGCCCTCCTTGGGGCGTTGCAGTTTTGCAGTCATGGATCTTCTTTCCTGCTGGTGGAGTGCGCAGAACTGGCGGTCCCTCGCTGCATGGCGGACTCGGGCGAGTCAGACGAAAGTGACGACGACCTGGATCGCTGCCATGAGCTCGCGTGAGGTGTCGATGCGTACCATGCCTTGGCAGATGTACCCGATCGACGAGTCGCCGCCGAGCTCGGAAGGCTGATGCCGGCGCGCGGGCACTGTCTCTTAGCTTCCTGCCCCTCGGCGCTCTCGTCATCGGCCTGCCCGGCCCAAGCTTCAGGACCTCTGTTCCCAACGGAACACGGGGATGGGAGCCAGGGTCGGGCACGGCCGTGCTCATCGAGGCTAAGTTATGTTCTGTTTGTATGCCTCCATTGTCATTCGAGCGATGCGAGCGCCGTCTGTGCCGCTTTCGCGGCGCCGATTGTCGATCTATCGAGCGACGCCTCTCTCAGCAGGATTGGTCTTGGATGGACCCTTCGATGCCCGATCTAGTAGTGTCTTGTTTATCGCAGACGTTGAAATCTTTAATGAACGTCCGCTTCCCTTCGACACAGCAGGGAGTGCAAGCGTCTCATCCTCGGGTGTCTGACGAGTGTTTACAGGCCGTTCGGGCCAAGTGTGACGCTGCCGGTGCCGCCGCCTACCCGTCTGCAGTCGCGAGTTGTAGTGCCGTTGTGTTGAATGCTTCCTGGATGCACGCGAACCGCACGCGCAAGAAACTCCATGGAGATGGTCGGGGCAGCAAGAAATTGCAAGTCTCACACCAACATGTGCCTACGTCTTCCCCTTCAAGTCGCTCGACTGGCACGTGGGCTCGTTCAGCCGGTGCCAAAGACGATCTCTTCTCAAGAGGTTGCAGTGAAAAATGGCGTTTGCCACATCCTGTTGGAAAGCGAGTTCGCTGTATGCTTTCCTCTTATGATTGCGCCCGCTCGGTCGGGGTCTGGCATGCTTCGCACTCGGTCTGCCCGTGCCGCGCTGTCGTCCCTCCTGTAGGACATTGACACTGGCCCCGATCTTCTGCCAGCCATTACCAGCCTGGAACATATCCCTATCCCTATGCTGGGCATCTCCTCATCACGATGCCAATCTTAGGATTCCCTTATTTTTTGAGGGCGAATCCCTGAGATTGTCATCGCCTTTTGGCGTGTCACTCTTAGGGATAGGGGTACGTTCCAGGCTGGTAAATTTAGGGATTTGAAACAGTTACCTGCCAGTCTCGCTGTGCCCGTCGAAGCTTGCTTGTCTCATCTACGAACGGGCAAGTGACGGATGCCTTGGAGAGAGCAGTGGGTCCACCCTCTCTACAAGAAGCTTAATGTTAGTTGCCCAGATAGCTGCCAGGGCATCCAGCTGATTGCGCAGCGATCGACGGTAGTCGAGCGCATGCTTCTGGAACTGTTTAGTCCACAACTGGACAGACTTGGCGCGTATGGCGCACGTCAATGCGCATGTACTTTTGGCCGCGGCGCGCGCGATGTTGTGCTGCATTTTGTTATACCACGTATCAAGTGCTCACTGTTCTGGCCGCCGCGTTCTCTTGTATTACTCAGACGTTGTTTTGGCCCTCGATCGTGCCGACTTGCCTCGCCTGTTCGCCAAGCTCCGTGGCTTCTCCGTTCCGGAAAGCGTGCTCGGTGTCCCTGGGAGCTGGCTGGAGCGACGCACGGCGCGAGCCACTGTACAGGGCAAGCAGCCGGGCCCAGTGTGCATAGAAAACAGGATTTAGCAAGACGCGGTCCTAGGCCTTCCGCTCTGGAGCTGTTTTTCTCAGACTCCTGCACGGCCGTGCGAGCCACAGGTTTCGAAGCAACTGCTTATGCTGAGGCCCCTGATGCAATCCGCGCGGTCGACAGTGGTGCTACAGACCAAGCGCACCGCATGCTAGCAGAGTGCCAGGACTGTTTCACCTCTGGGGCGCTGTCAACAGGATCGTTTTTGATCCTGGCAGGGAGAGCGCACACATTCTTTCTCGCAGCCGGCCTTGTGGTGATTATTTAATGTGTTTGGTTTTGTTTTCGATATTCGATCGTTTATACACGAAGCCATCATGTCTTGTGTTTGTGAGTGTGGATGGAAGATGAAAATACTGTTTCGTAGGCGCCGGTTTTTCAACTCGGCCGACATATTGTCATTATGCACGGCGCACGTGGTATTGTTCATCGAAAACAGGACTTGTGCATCTCATTTCGATTATTATTCCGCTCTTGCCTCTTTGGGCGCCGTTCAACACCGTCATCAGTTCTTTGGCTGTTTCCGATTTGGACGCTTTGAGTAAGTTCGCCCTGGTTTCGTCGTCTACCTGAAGGGACATCGCTATTGCTGGGGTTATTCATCGTTCTGTCCTTTGTCTCAGTCCTGGTCACTTGTCCTGTTTCTGCCGTCCTGTTCCTCCTCCTCCTCCTCCTCCCCCGCTTTCCCCTCGCCGCCACGCCCGGCACCTAGCCAATCCTCTCCAGCTTCGTTCTCCTGATGTTGTCCAGCATTCCGTGTTAGGCTTAGCCAACGTGTACAACATTATTCCTGACATCGCTGTCGCTGCTTCATCAGTTCACGAATTTCAGTCGTGTCTCCAGGGTTTGATGCGAGACGTTGCAAATTCAGGCTCAAAGTGAGCAGCTCTCTTCAGCTGCCGTGCCCCGTTCGCGCATCACCCGTTGCGCTGCCGCAGGGACTGGCAGCCTCACGAATGGTCTTGCATTATGTTTTCTTCATCCTTCCTCCCCTCTTCCCTTTCTCCCTCCCTCCCACTCCCTCCTCCATTTCTCTCCCTCCCCCTATTCTCCTCGTTGATATCGTCGTCCGTCGTCTGTTCGCGGCCGCCGCTTGTCTCGCGTCTGTCCGTCCCCGCCGTCCCCCTTCTTCTCCTCTTTCGCTCCAGCCGTGCTGTGTGGATTACAGCACGCGCGCCCTGCGCGTCGCATCCGTGGGGCGTGGCCCCTCTCCTCCCCTCGGTCCTCTTCTTTCGCTCCTGTTGTCGTCGTCTGCTGCTGCTCTCCTTCCTTGTCTCCTCTCCACCCCATTGTCCCCTCCGTCCCCCCCTCCCTCCCTCCCTCTCTTCTCCTGCTTCCCCCGTGTCCTCGCTCCACGTTGCACAGCATGGCTGAACCCAGATTTCCTTTTCTCTCCCTGCCGGGTCGTTTTGGGCCGGCTGGAGGTAGCGCAGCCCAAATGTTTTGAGGATGTGTGAGTTCCGTGTTTTGTTTCGATTCTTTTTAAAAGAAAATTTTAAGTGCACCCAGAATGCGTTGAGACTCGTGCGTGGCTGGGTTCACGTAGAACCAGAAACATGCCCGCTAACACCCCACTCTTGAGGATTTGCTCAGCTAATTATGTTTTCGACCCGCGTGGGACTCGTGTGCAGGCGCCGCATTCGGCATGAGTCTGTGGTGTGGGCACTGTTTCCAGAAGGGCATGAGTGTGCAAACCCGACGTGGCTAATGCTCTTGGGAGGGGGAGGGGGGCCGTTCTCAGGGCATGCTGCAGCACCGCGCAACGATGTGCTGTCAACCAAAGCTGCAGGGTGGGCCCTTTCCCATGTGTCTGCGCACTTCAGCTTTGGCTTCTGCTTCAGCTGTGGGTGCAAGGTGAAGCGCCTCTGGACCAGTTCACCCGAGTCGACTTTTCGCTCAAATGGGGCCCCTTTCTCGCTGGTCGTGGCTTGTCTTGTCCCGCTCTCCACGTCGGTCTTGCTTCCCCTCCCTGCTGCTGCTGTCGTTCCCCTCGCATTTTGATACTGCGCTTCGCCAGGCTTGGATGCGTCTGCCGCCGCCACGGTTGCTGTCGCCGTCACCCGACTCGGTGGCTCTGATGAGGGAGTGGCGGCGGCAGCGGCAGTGCCGAAGCACGCCCAGAGTCCAGCAAAGCATAGGGTGCAAACCCGATGTGACTGGCTGATGCTATGGGGAGGGCCTTGTGCTCAGGGGGGCCTGCAGCACCGCTAAACGATCTGCCGTCGACCAAGCCTGCAGGGTGGTCCCTTCCCATTTTTCTGTGCACTTCCGCTGTGCACTTCCAGTCTGGCTTCGGCTTCGGCTGTGGGTGCGCCGTGAAGCACGTTCGGGCCAGTTCACCCGAGTCGGCGTTCCGCTCACATGGGCGCCCCCTCACGTGTGGGACCGCGTTGTGCGGGCACCGCCTGCACTTGCGGCATTGACCGCGGAGGACGGGCCACGCAGGCGCGAGTCTTGTATGTCAGCCTGCTGCCTTCTTCCCACTGACGCTTTCATGTCTGTCTCTCTCCCTCTCTGTCGCTCTCTTTCTGTTCCCCTCTCTTCCCCTCCGGTCTGTCGTTGTGTGATGTACTTGCCGCTTGGGTCAGGGGGATCCCGCACACAGCGCATTGGTCGCTTTTCCCGGCCTACGTCGTCCTCCGCTCTGTTCCTCCCTTTTGTTTCACATGTCCTCGGCGGCACTTTGCGAGGCGCAGCTGCAGAGCCATCAGGTCTATTACGGGCTGTCTTGTGGGGGGGAAGGGCAAGGTGTCATGATGTTCCGTGTGCCGGCTGAGACGTGGTAATGTAAGGTGGACGTTGCGATTCATTTGAAAAAAAGATGGCCCCAAGACGGCCCAATGAAACCTCCCAATGGTCCAAGAGGCGTTCAAGACGGCCGGAACGGGGGAACTTCACTTGAGAGTCCGAGCCCTCCGCCGAAGTGGACTCCCGAGACCGCAAGCAGGTCCACAAGAGGCCCCCATGAGCTTCAAAAGAGGCTCGCAGAGGTCCCCAAACGGGCCCCATGAGGTTTTAAAGCTGGCGCCAAGAAGTTCCGGGGAAGCATGCCAGAGGACCCCAACAGGTATCCCCGAAGCCTTTGGCCCTCAGCCTGGGGACGGCGGCGGGAGGAGCAGGTCATAGCAAACCGTCAGCTGGCGAAGTGCCCTATGCCTATGCCGTCACCTGCAGCGCAGGGCGGGGCCTCCCCTTCGTATGCGGAGCTCCTTGTTGGGCACGACCCGCGCGAAAGGGGTGCCGAGTAATCCGAGTGCCTCCCCCCCGCGCGAGCACGCCCGCCGAGGCCGCCCTTGTAGCTCCCCGCGGGGCATCAGCCGTGCGAGGCAGTCGCCGACATGGGCGCGAGGCCGCCATGCGAAGTCGCCAAATGGTGCCATGTGTGTCGAAAAACACACATATGGAGCCCATACCCCCCCCCAACCCGAAATTCGGGTCTTCGGGTTGGGTTGGGGTGGTCTGGTAGGTAGTCAGATTCTCGTGAGCGAGGTGCCGATATGGTCGGGGGGCGATGTGCGAGCCTTGTCTCTGGGGCTGTGGGTGGTGCTCCGTGTGGGGATGATCCGCGTGAGGGGTGCGCCGCAGTGGGCGGGGGGGGCGCCATGCGAGGACCTGTCCCTGGGGCCGTCGGTAGAGCCCCCTATTGTGGGGCACGATCCGTGCGAGAGGTGTGCCGAAGCAGGCGGGCGGCGGCCTGCAAGGCACGATCTGTGGGAGAGGTGCGCCGGAGTGAGCGGGGCGACGCTATGCGAAGCTTCCCTCTGGTGCCGTAAGTGCAGACACCTGCTGGGCATGATCCGATCCGCGTGGGGTGCGTGTCGCTAGGCGAATCTTGTCTCTGGGGCCGTCAGTGGAGCTCCCTGCGGGGCACGATCCCTGTGCTGGGTCGGCCGAGATGGGGTGGTGGACGCTATTGAGATACGCATGCCCGCGTTTACGCAGGTGTGCTCATGTGGTGATCTTGATGGGACGGTGTGCGAGCCCATCTGCTGATTGATACGACGCTGGCTTCGTTTTCCTGTGTGTGCCTTACCTCTCCTTCTCCCTCCTTCGCCTCTCGCCATTTGCGCTCAGGTGTTGAGGACATGCTTGGCGCAAGGTGAGGGCTTTTTCCCTCTGGAGGGAAAACCCATCGTCAAGCGAAAGTCTTTCATCCATACGGACTCTGGGTGGGGTAGGGTCGTCGGCTTCCTCCCCACTCCTTCCTCCTTCTCATCGTCCTCCGTTCTCCCTGCGGGCGGTGGTTGGCCGGGAGGCGCGATGCCTGCACCGGTGACGCTGCACATCTACGACGTCGGCGATCAGAAGGCGCTCTGGGCGGGGCCGTTCGGGGCCAGGGGGTCGGGCCAGGGGAACGCCCTGCTGGCGCGTTCCGGAGGGGCAGGGTAGGCTCGCGCCTGGGATGGCGGAAGCGGTTGATCCGTGACGGGCGAGAAAAGAGCCGGGGGGACAGGCCACGGAGGGCAGATTGCGGGGGCAGATGCGCGAAGAGAGGGGTCAGGCATGAGAGCGAACACGGGCAATTGGGAGGGGACAGCCAGTCCTCCCGTTCCTCCCCGAGCGCCTCCCTCAGTTCCTGGAGCTTACACACGTCCACCACCTGGAGAAGCGATTTCTGTTTCAGGACCCCAGTACGTCCACGGTGGACATGGACATCCCTGGGCGCTTGTCCATGTCCACCAGCTCCTGGGGCCCTGGGGCCTCGGCTCCCCAGGCAGCTGGCATGCTTCAATCCAAGCCTCGCGCTCCGTCCTCTGGCAGCGCTGCCCAGAGGGGGCCGGGCGGGCAGAGGCCGTCTCCAAGGTGAACCAGCTGCTGAAGCCCATCGGCACAGGCGCGCGGCTCTCCTCCGAGCGCGCGGCGCAATTCGGATGCTTGCCGCTTCGCGTGTGCCCGTCGCGCGACTCACTTATGTGGCCATCCCATGTTCACCTTGCACAGTGACCCGCCCACTGAGGTCTGGGGTCCTGCGCGAGTCATGCGTTGGCCACTTCAATTCTGGTCATTTTGCCCAGTGCACGTGCCCGAGCTAGCAGTTCGTCAGTGCCGTCTGAGGTGGCCTGCCGCGTTTCTGTTTTAGCCAATTCGCCTCGCCCGTGGCCCGGACGTTGCCTTCGCCACATGACCGCTGCCTTCGTGGCCGCTGACCAAAGAAGTGTGCCCGTCGGCCCTGCCCCCCTCCGCTCCCCCGGCCCTGCCCGTCGGCCCTGCCCGTCGGCCCTGCCCTCCTCCTCCTGTGCCCACCTTCCGCCCCCATCCTCCTGTCTTCTTCTGTCGCCGGAGCCTTCCCCTGGATCGTTTGCCCGATCGGGAGCGGCAGCCAGCTCTGGCCACGCAGTCAGGGCAAGTGCATGGCCCGGGCCCACCTTACAGTGAGCGGCTTGAACAAGGAACGCTCGCTTTTCAAAAGGGGCTCGGTCGTTCCTTAGGCTTGCATGCGTTATTTATCGCTCCCGATGCGTTATTCATTATTCGTTCATCGTTCCCCTATGCGTTATACCTTGGAAGAAAGGGGCTTCGTTCCTTATTCATCCTTCCTTAGGTCAGGCCGATGACTGTAGGCCCATATCGCTCGACCTGGTTGTTGCAACGAGCCTTCGTGGGTCATTCGAGCCCCCCACCCGCGGCCGCTCCGCCCTGTGTTGTCCCGGCCCCTCCGCGCTCGGCGCCCCGGAGCTGCTCGACCGGCCCGTGCGCTCGCTGGGCCTGCGGACCAACAACAAGTTTCAGTCGGGCATGCCCCTCTCTCGGGCCGGACGAAAGGGGGGGATTGGGAAAGGAAGGGTTGCGAAATCTGCTGCATGCAATTGGTTCCGGCCGCACTGAGGGGCCCAGTTCTCGATACGTCGCCGCCTCTGGCGGCGGGAGGCGCCGGGAAAATCAGCTACGTGAGCTGATTCTCACCCTCCCCCCCCTTTGCTATCCCCCCCTTTCGCCCGACCCGACTCTCACTCACTCGCTCATGCCATGCGCCGGAGCGCGTGGGCGAAAGAAGAAGACAGGGCCAGCCTATTCTCACCGCTTTGCGGGAGCGGCGGCACGACGGCGGTCGCAAAAACCACAACGTGCCCGGCAGGAGGAGGAGGGAGGGAGGAGGACAATTCAGACAGGACGCCAAGGCACCGGGCATCACATGCAACGCATGCAAACAAAAAACCACATAATGCTACTGGTGATCGGGTTCATCTCCATGGTGTGCAATGTGTTCAGCAATACTGCGCCACTCGATGGGGTCCTGCAGGCGCTGCTCCAAGTATGTTCCGGGCCAAGATGAGCAACCAAAGCCTTGTGTAGGCATTTCGCCCACTCGTGTTTGGGTCTGCCTCTCCTCCTTTGATACGCATCCACAGCTGAGAGAACTGCGCCGGGCTGAAACGTGAGTTGCCGAAGAAAGCCCGTATGTGGCGCCCAGCCAATTTGGCCAAATAGTAATATTTGTTGTTGAAGAAATTGCGCGCTGTACTGTTTTTGGCCAGCTTGTTCCAGAACTTTGCTATTCGGTACTCGCGTAAGGAAGGCGGGAGGTGTATGTAGTACTCTTCGCAGGCATCTTGCTTGAAATTCATCCAGCCTGCTCCTTTCTGCGTTGTTTAACCACGCCGTGATCAGTGAATACATGACTTTGGATGTGACCAGTGCTTGGAATAGTTCCAGTTTTCGCCGCTCGCTCAAAGCAGTGTGTTTCCATGCTCTGTCATATTTGGAAAACTCGGCCCAAGCTGCCCCTATTCTTTTGCTTAGCTCGGTGCCCAACTGCCCACTAGTGTACAAAGTAGCACCCCAAATATGTCATATATGGCTTTTCGGCAATGAGTTGTCCAGCCGGCGTCCTCAACGTCACGTCGTTATTTATCTTGCTCATCTGGAATTTGTCTCAGTGCAGCTCCATTCCAACCCGCGCCCCCGCCAATGCGATGTTGTCTAAGAGGTGCTGTGAGCTGGTGTGGCTTCTTCCGGTGAGCAGCGTGTCGTCGGCATACAGCAGGACCGAAAGACTTCCAGAAGCCATATCGATCTTGTCATTGTCGCTCAGGTTGTTCACGGCGTCTCGCAAGACCACAGTCATCAACATGACGAAAAGAAACGGCGACAACGGACACCCTTGTGAGATTCCAGACATTTGCTTTCTTTCTGAAGATTTGATCGCCCCGTCGGCTACGCAAAATCGCCTGGCCTCATAAATACTTCCAATCAGCGTGAGTATATAGAACTAGTCAAAAATTGTCAGGGGGGCGATTTTCCTAGTATATTTGTGTGTGTGTGTTTTTGTTCTGAAGATGCTTTGGCTATTTCTTGATTTTTCCTCCAGAATCCGCCTGTAGGGGGACATGCCAGACCTAGTAACAAGTGTGCCCGTCGGCCCATCCAGAAACGCTGCCCCCGGCGAGAGGCCCTGGTCAGGGACGTGAAGGAGCAATCAGCGGAGCAACGAGGGGGGCGGAAGTTCGGGAGCGGCCAGAGCAGACCGCAAGTGCCTTCGTGGATCTTCCGGTGTGGGAGCCTATGGGAGGCGTTTCTGGGCTTTCTCGGGGCCCTCCCGCGGGGCAATTTCCGACGCCTTTGGATCTTTCTTGGCTCTTTGGGGCCTCTTTGAGCTCTCTTAGTGCCCCTTTGGAGATCTTGAGAGCCTTCTTGAGGCCATCTTGGGGGACGTCGATCACAAAAGGGAGCGGCACTAACTTGTGTGGCCCCGTCGAAGCCCTAACGATCATCACTTGGAGCCCTCTTGGGACGAGCGAAAAGGCGACAAGCTCAAAATCAGTGCAATACAGTTAGTGGCTGTCTGATGTTGGCGTCTCGGGGCGTCCTTCGCAGGCTCTGGGATAGCCGTCTTGGGGCCTCTTGGAGGCATGCTGGGAGCCATCTTGAGCCAACCTGGGCAATCTCCTACCATCTCGGGGGCAGTCTTCGGGCATCGTGGCTCCTTTTTGTAGCCTTCTTGGCCCGAAGGCCTCCCAAAGGATGCCCCTGAAGAGCGAACATATGTGAAAATATTCAGGCCTGTTTACTGAGGAAGAATGAGGAAGGAGGGATGAGGAAGGAGGGATGAAGGAGGAAGGAGGAGGAGGAGGAGGAGGAGGAGGAGGAGGGGGAGGAGGAGGAGGAGGAGGAGGAGGAGGAGGAGGGGGGGGAGGGGGCGGAGGGGAGGAGGGGGAGGACGGCGAAGAAGGGCGGAGGAGGGGAAAGGGGAGGCGGAGGAGGAGGCAGAAGGATGAGGAAGAATGATGCCGCAGCACAGATTAGCGTCGCCCTGTCGGAGCCAGAGACATCGCCTCTCGGGGCCCTCCCGGGGCGCCCTTGTGGCGATCTTGGGGGCCCCTCTTGGAGCTCTTTGTGGGCCCATCTAGGGGCTCTCTTGGACGCTCTTGGAGCGACTTTGATGCCTCAGGGCATCAGGCAGAATGCAACCCCTCACCCTAATAACACCATGAAGTCGTGCCCTAATTTAGCTCCCCGCTTTTTTGAGGGATAATATGAAAGATGTGGGTGGCTTCGTTTGATACACCTGCAAAGAGACCCCCTACCCTTCATGTGTTGGGTCATCCTAACTCAGGTCCCCTTCCACAGGGTTTGGGGTACTTCTATTGTTATGCTTCAGGAACCCACCCAGAGCGAAAGGGCTAGAACCGAAATACACAACACAACAATCGTGGTCTGATAGTGTTGGCACCTCGGGGGTCTCATCCTTCGCAGGCTTATTTGGAGTTGTCTGGCGGTGGTCCTGAGGCCTTTGGGAGGCATGTCGGAAGCTATATTTGACTATCGTATACCATCTTTGGGGCCATCTTGGGCTATCTGGAGCCGTCTTTGGTAATTCCGGACCCTCTACCCGTCGCAGACACCTTGCCCCGACCTCCAGGGATGAGAGAGGGGGAGGGGCAAACTCCTCCCCGAAGGGGACGCACAAACTTGTCAGAGGAAACGATCTCAACCACCTACGTCCAGAAGGCAGGTGAGATTCGAGGATTCACTGCGCAGGTGGATTGGGTGGAGGGTCTGCTGGGTCTACTCTGCGTTCTGCAATGTCCGAAGAAAAGAGTGACCTTTGGCAGAATGCATGAACATGGGCTGTCGGAGACGCGTGCGGGTTTCTTGGGTCTGTCCTGACCCCCCGCCCCCAGCAGCGCCTCCAGGCACGCTTCGCGTGCCAGGGATGGGGGTCCAGTGCCGACCCAAGAAATCCGCGCGGACCTCCAACATCTGTCGTTTCAACCTTGTCTCGTCGGCGCACCGCGCCGCGCATGATGGTGCCCGGTGCGTGCCCACGACGCGGGTCCATCCGAGGTTGTCGCCGAGGCCGGTGCCCCCTGGAAGTCTTGGCAGGGCTGCGCACTTTTCTTGTTACCATCCGCAGAGTGCCCGGTGGCAGGTGGAGGAGGAGTAGGAGGAGGAAGAGGAGGAAGAGGAGGAGGAAGCGGAGGAGGAAGAGGAGGAGGAGGAGGGGAACTGCAACTAACTATCACATTCCTGCACGACGTTGGTGCGCCCGTGAAGTGCTTCATGCTCTGGGTGGCCTCCCTTCCCTCCTTCGCCTCCTCCCCGGCCAGCTTCCTTGCGCCCCAATTCGCTTCCGGAGCACCCCTCCTGATGCTGACTGGCATCCGCATCGGCGTCTCGCCCGCATGTGCCTGCTGACTCGAAACAATGATGTACACCCATGAGAAGTCTTAAGAGAAAGCATCAATTTGCATGGACTCCATATTTGGATTTAGAGCATCAAAAATCTTGACAGGACCATGGGCGTTTTCTTTGAGGTTTTGTTATTCGTCGAACATCTAGTGGCCTTTGGTCCATCCCGCCACAGCGCCTGGGTTGTAGGTTAGAGGCTTCTTG